TGCAAAGCTGTTTTCTCTATTAAACACAGCTATTATTCATTGTTAAAATCTAATTATAATTAATTTGATTAATTTTTAATCATTTCTATTAGATCATTCCTATTCAATATATTGTTAACAAAAATCATGTTTTAACTATAATAATGGAGTTGAACAATTTAACTCAAGAAAATATATTAAATTTAACTTGAATTTAATTTATTATCTACTAAATACACCTGTTAATATAGACGATATTTATTTTGAAATTAACCACCGCAGAAACGGATTGAATTACATTTTGAAATAAATGGAAGTTAAAAATAACAAAATATTATTTAATTCAACAGATAGTTAGCACTGCTCCTGTGATATCTAAGTGTTAAAGTGTATAACATCACGAAGTTGTAAGACAAGCGAAACTCAGTAAATTCATCCCGAGGGTGAAATCGGTAACGGCTAATGCCGTATCGAATTTCCCCCGAAAGGTTCAGACAGCTTCTCGACGGAAATTCCCTCGACCGTCGTGGAAAGAATTTAGAAAAGGAGAATTTTAGTTGTCTCCTTAGTATTTCGAGTTTCTAATTCTTTCCTCGCTCGAAAAAGCTCCGGTTCTTCGCGTGAGATTCGGAAATCGTTACGATTAAAGTCTTTCCGAAGACTCGACGTTCTGGCAAAATGAACAAATTGGATAACTTACAATAACGATTGCCTCGCGAGTTTTCTCGTAAAGCTCCAATTCTTCGCACAAGATTCCGAGATAGGCACTTCTATTGTTATAGTTAGACACGTACGTGCAAAGACTCGAGTCGCGTAAATTCGAAATCTTCTTTCTTCGTTTTTCAGAATGGAAAGTTTAGCTGTCGATAACGATCAACGATTCGAGTGTTTCGCGTCGAGTTTCTTGAAAAAGTTTCGGCTTTTCGCGCGAAATCGAGACGACAGAAACACGATTCGAGATGCTTCTATTGTTATGATTGAAATTAATTCCGTCAACGTTGATTAACTCTCACTGTTCAACTGATCTATTCATTCTCTATCTATTCAGGTCATATTATTCACTCATAGTATAGATGTTATAGATAATCCAGTTGACTACGATTCATTTCTAATGTCTAACGATTAATTATTTCTATCAATTTAAATTAATTTAAATCTTATTTTAACTTTTATATCTTTTACTAATTCTAAGATTTAGAAAAAAATAAAAAGTAAGTAAAATCGAAGTTAAAATTAATTTACATTGATAATTTACATGATAGAAATGGACACAACTGACGTTAACCGAATCGGGTCTTACAAATGTATGTAAACAAAGAGGTACGAATTTAAACATTTTTTTCCAAAAGATAAATCTTCGATTATCTTCGATTACTTCGAACATGTGTATGATCTCTCATAAGTAATAATTGAAATTGTATAATAATATATACATAATAATATAAAAATATATGTAAAATATATATAATAGAAATACAGGAATAATCTTCGTTCCAATAAATGATTGTACTCGAAAAAATCTGGTTGCATTGATTAGAATAAACAGTCAGGACTAGAATTCATGCTTGGTTTTCCAAGAAGCTATATATGACTTCTCGCGAAAGATCAGAGAGCCTCGCGATCAAATAATCGTCGCAATTATAATAGAATTCGCTATCCAATGTTTTCGCAAATCGAAAATTGATACTGCGTCACATTCAGCTCAACTTAAATTTCTCCCAAAACATGAGCTCTGACCATTCGCAACTAAATTAAACAGCACGTTGTTACGATCGCGAACGTACGCGAGTCGCGTAGTACAGTCCTCGTTTCCCGTTCTAGAGACTAATGTCCTTGTTTGTTATTCTACAGCCGCGACATTCATTTTTTCTTCTTTTTACTTGTACTGAAGAAAGACTACACGAATATGAAGGGAAAGGAGAAGGGCAGAGTTTGGTTTCGCAATTTCATGACCCGAGAACGTCCAGCCCAGAAAGAGATTTCTCGGACGTTCCGCGTGATCAGGATGAGGACAGGATGAAACTACAAAGGGACAGGCTTGCGTCGTCTTTCAGAGACGCGTAATCATTCACCTACGATCTAATTTTTCTACGTAACTCTTCTACTTACAAGAACTTTACTACAATCAACTGAGGAGACCGATCGTGGCATCCATGCGACATGATCATGAAATTCTCGTCACGCTCTCAGCTTATTGTTCGCAAAAGTAGCAAGTCTGTCGTTCCTATTTTTTCTTTCCTCTTCGAGGCCTCGACTCGCCCTCGAAGAGGAAGGTGAAAGAAACGAGAGACGAAAAACAAATGTGGGAAGTGATCATGTAATTTCTTCCAAAGTGAAAATCTTTACCATTGAAGTTAAACCTGGAGGTCAATTGTGTATCTTGAAAGGAGGTAGAAAATTACATAAGCAAATTTAGTAGAATATTTACGCGCTATCGCTAAGCGCTTCTTAGCGTCGAGACATTATTGTGTCTCTGAATAACTTCAATTTAGTGAATTTAACTCATTTTTGTCATTTTTATCTCGTTTCAAGGTACACAACAACCCCCCAAGTGTTTGAAGATACACGTTGACCTCCTGGAGGTCAATTACATCTTGAAACGAGGTAGAACATTACAAAAGTGAATAAATTCATTAGGAATATTTATAATTTCATCGGTGGACAGTAAATTTTTGCTCTTTGTTGTAATTCCACCTCATTCCAAGATACATAATCCACCCCTGAAACACGATTGAAAAACACACAGGTGATAAGGCAGCGGGTCAATCATGTAATGTAACTATTTCTCAATGTAGGAACAGGAAAAAAGTGAAAATTTCTTTTTCGTATGTATGTGTACGTACATAAAAATTTTCACTTTTCACGCTCCAGAGAAGTTACATGATCGATACCCGGCAATAACAGAGATTTTATATCAAAGTGCACGGTTTCTTATAAGTTAAACTGTATTATTCCTATTTTCAATTATATCTCAGACTATCATATTTATTGATATCTCAGACTCTTTATAAGAAATTTGTCACTTTCCACTATGGGGAATAAATTACATGACCGGGAGCCCTGAAGACGGCAGAAGAGGAGGAAGAGAAGAGAGCCAGGGGAATCTCCTCGCGATAACGCGATAACGTTCTCTCTCCTCCTTCTTTCCCTCTCCTCTCCCTCCTTCTCTCTCACCCCTGACGTCTCTCTCGCGCGCGCCGTTGATCGATGACCAGTCGCACGCTTCGCGGCACCCGCGGCGTGGAATCGCCCGCTTCGCGAGGAAACGGAGACCAACGTGCATAACTTCGTGATATATACGAAGGTAGACACAGGCAGAAGAGAGGTAGAAATGAAGGATATACTCACCACCGATGCTTAGTGTTCTCCATCGGGTCTTCCGCTTGGAACCCTTCTTGCCCATCTCTCGCGGTCGCCCGCAACTCCACTACCACACTACCGGTCGCTACCACCTCTTCTTCTTTCGCCCTGCGCCACGTTCTGCGCCGCGATGATTTTCCTCGTTCGATCCGGTCGTTTCTTCCTCTCTTCCTTAATTTTAGGACGTTATTAACCCTCGGTGCTCCGCGATCGTCATCGCGCGATACATTCTCTCGGACACGGCTCGCGCACTACCTCGTCGGTAGCATCGCCGAAGATCGCCGTCGCTCGCCCGCTCGTCGATCGTTGGAGGGAGGAGCGGGGGGGGGAGGGGGAGGGGGAGGGTTAAATGTGTTAAAAAGGCACACGGTCCTACGAATTTTACGATCACTCGTTCGTTCGTTCGACTCGGCAATGTATAAAAATATATAATGCCGCGGAATATCGCTTTCGCGAAATCGCAAAAGTTTCTCTATCTCTCTATCGTTACGCGAACAATTCCAATATGTAATCCACGCCGCTCGAACGGCGACCGCACACTGCGGACCTCACCTCACCCCACTTCACCCTTGCCGATGCTCCACCACCCACCTCGCGCCGTTCTTCCTCGCTCCCTCTCTCTTCTTCGCGAAGGTTCTCCCTTCTCCGGACGACCGTCGCTATACGACGAGCCGATAAACTGCTCCTCTCGACCGCGTTTTGTTGCACTACGCTGCACTCAGCTGCACTTTCTGCGTACAAAGAGAGACGACGGATGCTTTCCGTTTGATGATACGAGTTGATACAAACATCGTTCTGTCTTTCTTAATGTTCAATGAGTAACAAAGACAGAACGACGTTTTTGTTTGTCACTATAAATGGAAAGCACCCGATGCAATATGTATTCGTTCATGTTGCTTGCATTGCAACTCCAATTTTGCTCTCCAAATTTTTTCACTTTTTCGACGCCTAATATATATTTACCTCGTGTAAAAATTTTTGGAGGATTACCAGCAACATAAATACCTGATGTTCGCTCGATACGACGAGAGAGACAGACGGTCGCTAGAAAACGGGTGCAGAAGGTGCAGCTGCAGGTAATGCCTCGCGTAACCTATACGCGCCGCCGCAATGCCGGGATACTCCGATTCGCGCAGATTCCTCGGTGGGATATCTCCAAGCAGACATAAATTGCAATGCAGCTGCGTCGTGCCAACAATCGCAATCGTATTCGTGAAACTCGTCTTGGCGGTGAATGTCGTCGAACTCCAAATTTCCAAGCACAAGATAGAGCCCCGATCGTAACTCCACAGTCAGACGGTGACTCCTCTTCACAGATTCGAACCGCTCGTCTCGCGCGCGGCGCGCATGCCCCCCCCCGTCGCCATGCGTCGCGATTGGCTGTTGCCATGGCAACCGATGTAAACAACGACGCGCCATTTTTCCCGGCTGATCGCAGCAATCGCGACGATTCGCGGCTTTTTTTTTCGGGATTGCGAAGTTTCTCGCGCTTTTCGTCGTTACTGTATTCTACGTTCCGACCTCGACTGTCTTTCAGGTCATTTACGCTAGTTCATTAAAAACGCGTTCTTTCACGTGCGAACGAAATATGTGAACGTAATATATAATTTTCACTTGAATTTCAGCGAAGTTAAACGGATTTTATATCAAACTTGTGCATTGTTTCCGAGAAAAAAAGAAAATAACCTAAAGACCGATGAGTTAGTGCAGCTTATTGTCTTGTACGTAAAAATATTGAATTTACTTCTTCCCCTTTTCTTACCATGTTATCAGTGGTGACGTAAATTTATTATTATTCGAGTCAAATATGACGTTAGAATTGGAATCTAACATCGACAAGTGATACCGACTTACAAATAAATTCGTTATACTTTTTTATTTTTCGTAGACACTCTTCGTGACTGAAAAAGAAAAGTTTGTCACGTGAATAGAATTAAATCGAATTGTAGATATATTTCTCGTGTGGAGCGCAAAGTTAAATCATTCTGTTGTCTATTTTGGTCGCCTGACCAAAGATAGGTTACGTGCGCCCCATGCGAGGTTTGAAGATGAACAAATATTTCGATCTATATTTAAGATACTATATTTTTCATGGTAACGAAAAAACCGTCTTTATTTACGTTACAATCTGTTTATGTAAGTAATGGAAAAAACAAGATTTAAAATAAGTAATCATTATTTTTTTTTTGCGTACAGGTTAAACGTATAGGTTAGGTTCGCGACGGCTACTGACAGCAAAGAAAGATGCTCAAGATACTGTCGCTTCACGATTTCGACGGCCCCGCCTTCGACGACGTGGCCGCCGTCGGCTTGATCGAGGGCGTCGTCCATTATTGTACCTATGATGTGCTGCAGGACGAGATGCAACCTTTTGCCAAATACCTACGTGATTACCCTGAGGTTTCTGTCACACAGGAGATCCTTGCGACTCGTGAAACTGCGCGTATGATTAGTGCTGGCGAACTGTTCCTTCCCATTCACGACAGCATCTTTAAAAAGATTGCTAATGTATGGAGAGAAAGAGGATTGTCTGAAGCAATCCGCTTCGCTGCTGCTACAGATCCAAAACAAGTTACAAACGTTGTGCATTGGATTGCAACAAAGTATAGTATTTCAGTCTTTATTGCATTCTTAATTCTTCAGAGTAGATGTGAATCCATCAGATCTACTGAATCTGGTGTTTACTCTGGAGAGTTGATGCATTTTGATATTAAGAGAAAATATTTGATGATTTCAGACTAAATTCGATATTGGATTTGATGGACAGAGGAATATATCATAGAGATGTGTTGCCGACGTCTGGAAATGAATCTGTTGCTGACATTGTTGCTACACGAGATTGGCATACATCACTGGTAAGATTATTTAATATTGAAAAAATATATAAGCATTTCCAAAATACTTATAAGTATTTATGATAGGTAAGATGTTTGTCTTGGCATCCACACTGTGCTCGCCTGGCTGTGGCTATGAGAGACGATAGAATTCGTATTTTTTCGCAAGGTTTATTAGGCATACCAGTATTGAGACATAGTGCACAAAAGTCAGTCTGCTGCTTAAGTTGGAGACCTCATGCCGGCCGTGAATTAGCAGTGGCTTGTTACTCCGGAGTATTAATTTGGACAATAGAGTTGGGAGCAGCTAGTAATTTACTTAGTCATGCAATACTTTTGAAGCGAAGAAATCATGCGCCTGTTACAAGCGTAGCATGGCATCCACAAGTAGTATATTCTTTTATTTCTGTCGATATTCATTGAATGGAAATTATTATCCTCAGATACTGTTATAAGGTGTTTTTTTTTTCTAGGGTGACTTGTTAGCTTCTTGTTCACCAACGGATTTAAATATAATAATTTGGAATGTTTCTAAAGAGGAAGGAATTCCTCTAAAACGTATTGGTGGAAGTGGTATATGCTTTTCACGTTGGTCAATTTGTGGCTTACGATTACTCTCTGCTTCATGCAGTAAGATTTTCAGGTAATATCTTTAAATCTGTATACACACATCTTTTTTTTACAGTAAATACAATTAGACATGCTGTTAGAAAAAGCGAATATTTAATTTTAGAGTTTGGAATACTGGCGTTCCGACACCATGGCGTGCAGAAAGATGGACTGTACCTCATGGTCGTGTAGCAACTGCATGTTTTGGTCCTAATTTAACATTACTCTTTGCTACTACTGAAGATCCTTCTACGATATTTTCATTGCCACTGCAAGATAATATATTTGATGTTATAAAAGGAAATAATAACGATATAAAAATAGCTACGCGTCTAATTGATTTAACAAAAGTGAATTTTTCATCGGACGATAATGATGATTATATCACGGTGGGAGGTAGAATCGTTTCTATGGAATGGGATCCAACAGGAAAATATCTTGCTATTCTTTTTCAGGTTTGTGAACAAATATTTAGATTTAGCTGTACTTCTTTATGCATTTTTTGTTTATGAAATAAAATGGACATATGCTCAAACTTTAAATAGAAAAACAAATCAATATCTTATGTCAATTTGTTTCTTTAACAGGATAGTCCAGTTATTGCTCTGGTCAAAACTAACTTAAGTCATTTATCGCGAATAGTGGAAACACAAGCAAGCTGCCTTATTAAAGGATTTACTGGAGAAGTACCAAATTGCATTAACTTCTTTCAAAAATCTTCGTCATGGATTTGCTTAACAATAGCTTGGAGCAGCGGACGAGTACAGCATTTCCCAATTGTGGAAAGTGAATCCAAGGTTGATACTAACACACATTCCACATTATTGTCGCAAACCATGAGAACTAGTAGATTGTACAGTTTCGACTGTTACAGGCAATAATAAGTTATTATAAAAATATGAGTTTTGTACAATTTTTCTATCTTCATACACACGTATTTGTAATTGGTATAATAGTGGAAAAAAGGTTTAATAAATTTATCTGCAAAAAAATACTTATTAATACTACTTATTAATAACTGATTTTTTTTTCTATAAATTGATTATTAATTAACTACCCTTCTCAAGAAATTTTTTTAGATATATGTGCCTATACGTGTATATGTGGGCGGAGTCTATATAATTCTTGTTTGAGAGAAGTTTGTAAACCCATTTACTGCCTTCGGGAAAGAAAAAAGAAAAAAAATGGATACCCGTCGTTAGACTCTCTATAATAGACTGCGCTTGTAACGTATGGAGGAGCATAGGACACTTGTCTTCGGTGCCTAATTATACGAAGTCACATGCAGAGCGCGCGTCTCTATTTTTACGTCGCTTGACCGAATGCTAAACGGTCTACCGGCATGTTATGTATGTATGTCTTGCAGCCCACGCTATTTTCTGCGTGTAGACGTGAATGATTGAGCGTATCTCGAGTATCTACATTGGATCGATTTAATTTAAATAACTTTTTTTGTTTTACTATTTTTCTTTTTTTATGAAAAAAAAATGAGGACTAGTCAAACAACATCAAAATCGACGTCTTTTAGACGTCCTTGCAAAAATTTCCTTGCAAAAATCTAATCTTTTGCGATCCGCCGATAACAGTGCAGTCGCATAAGAGCAACAGTCTTTATATAAATACTATCACTGCATGCAGTTATATATTGATAGATATACGTAAAAACTAATAATAAAACTTTAATAGCTACTTTTATTGTACATTGGCGTATTCATGGTAAAAAAATATGCAGCTCAGTTGACAGCAACATTGAGAAAAATTTTTACTTGAAAATGAACGAAGATTCATATCAATCAGAATTCTGTTTATCTCAATTATAAGAATTGTAATAGATTTAATCAGAAGATTCTGTGATTAATCATTTCAATTCCAATTAATGCAACTAGTCCCTTGTGTGCATTTGTTTCAATCAGATGATGCAATAGAGTAAAATATATGCGAATCGTAAAGTGTTAAAACAATGTTTAAAGTGTTAATACAATGTTCCGACTTTAGACTTTCATTGCCCGAGTAATTTCACATAAATTAGCCTGTTCTTAAATCATGAAGCTTTCCCATTCTAAGTGGAAAATAACTATTGTACCATTAACGTGTTACAAGTCATTGATATCGTATACATGGGCTTAACGCGTATTTTCGTGCATGTTTATTCATTCCTTTCAGTCCCGATAAGATCATTTCTCGGAGATTACGCGTACAGGGTGGACGGCCGTTTTTGTGTGAAGCGCGATTAAAACGCGCCCGGGACGATTTTTCTCTTCTTTTTCCACTCGTTCCGCTGTTATTGCATCCGTATGGGGGATGAGAACATGATCAGTGTCCTTTTTACGGTATATTTATTTTGAGGGCGGTCTCTCTTTCTCCTTGTCTCTCTTTCTCCTCTCTTTTTTTCTTTTTCTCTCTTTCAGAACCGCGTACGCACATGCGGCGACTATGGTACGAGCGAAGCTGACAGGTGCCTGAGCAAAAAAGCCAGGACCGCGAGCGGTCGTAGTGTGCATATAATGTAAGCACAGAGGGCTGGCAGACCACATGTGCCACTCTATCACTTATCTACCCGTAATACAGCGTACCAATTCGTCCAGAGAGATGCACCAGGACGTGCACGTATGTACGCCAATGATGCATCGCGAGCTCGTAATTTTCCGCGTGAGGAAGAAACGCCGAGATGAACGGAGCTCCGAAGATCCCGTCCATAAGTACTATACACATATGGAAATAGAAATAGAGACAAAATAACATATTATAACACAGACAAGTGTGAAAGTTGATGGAAAGTATAAAACGAAGATGTTCCATCTGGTTCTACATCAAAACCAAATTTCTTTCTCTTAGAATCTTACAATTAATTATAGCTTTGACCATATAAGTTTGAAACACCGTCGAATTATTACATTTTCTTGAAAAATAAAAGCTAATATAAAGCTAAATAAATAAATTGTTATAAAAATAATCATTTTTTTAAATAACGTTTTTTATTTATTTTTTCAATATACATATAACTGGGATTTTTAGTTTGTTTTTCATTAGATATACACTGTTGGATATCAAAAAATAACTAATCCAACCCTTTGAGAGTTAAAAAAAACAATATTTTGTTATTTTTAACTTCCATGCAATAGTTATTAAAATGTAAACCGATCCATTTCTGTGATTCAAAACTTCAAAGTAAACAACGTCTACTATTAATGTTTGCATTTGTAAATATAAATAACATTTGATTTAAATTTGATACATTTTCTTGAGTTAAATTCAACTCCATTATTTTAATTAAATTAACAAAATATTGCATGAGAATTTATAATAGAAATATAGTAATTAAAAATAATTCAATTTGGGTATAATTTAATAAATCCAACTAAATGTTATAATATTATAATTTGACATTATTAATTTACCATAGAACATTTACAGTAATTTGTGCGGGCGCTTTAAACTTAAAAGGGCTATAAAATTTCACACTTACAATTAGCTCGAGTGTCACCGACTGCTTAATACGGAGAGGTCACCGCCCCGTGTGTCATAAAAACGCGACTTCTTTCGGGGATGTTTTCTTAAGGACAGGATTCAGCACCTCGAACGCAAAGAAGAAACAACAGGGCGATCTCGGAGAGACGATTTTTAGTCTTCGACGATTCTTCAAGGCCCGATGTGCCGGCGAGAATCGTAATGAATCGCGACAATTGCAACGAGGTGAGAAGATAGCGGACAAGGGTGGTCTAGCTGTAAGATAACAGTGCGAGGAGTGAACGACTTGTCCTCATGTGGCGAGCCCATGGAAGCATGTTGTTAATAAGTGACGCGTGTGTGGCAGCTGGTCTTACATTTTTTTGCCTCGCACCCGATTCTTAGGGGCTCGAGCGACGAAAGATCGTCTCGAGCGCTTCTCCCTCTTCCATTCTTTCCCTTCATTTCCCTTTCGCTCGTTGTGTCCTCCTCTGTTCTTCTCCTCCATCTTTCCCTCTCACTTATACAAACTGTCTTAGATACTTTTTCAAACAATTTTCGACACGATGCATCATGTGTATCAATTTAACCCTAGCAACGCATCGTCGAAAATTAGTGTGACCGTTTATTTTAATTGTAATTGATATTCGCAGATTTAGTGAACCCGATCATTTTCTCAATTACACGTCAAAAATTGTGAAATATTATTTATAAATTATAACAAACATTTTTTGTAACTGTATATATATATATATATATACATATATATATCATTTTAAATTATATAATTTTATTCCTCGGATTTTGATGTTTGAAATAAAAAAAATTGTTTAATTACGTTAACTTCAAGCAAAAATACGTCAATTTAAAGTTTTATTGGATGGACTATAGACATTTTGTTCAAAACTCGTGGTTTTCTATATATAAAAATGATCAAATTTACAGAAACTTTTTAAAAAGATATAATAAAAATAGAAACGTTAAACTTTAAAACCCTTTTTTTAATTTAAATTTCGTTCATTTTTAATGAAGTTACAACTGTATGAATTTATAAAGATTCGTAGCCAACAATATAAATAGAGAATATAATCAAGAATAGATTATCGCCCAAAGTACCATCCAATATAAATCCAGATATAAAATGATAAACGATAAACACCGATAAAAAAAATCATATAGTAAGTGTGGTCGGTATAGTTAGTAATACATATTTATTAAAAACAAAAAATGAAAGTAGGCGATAGATATGATTGTAACAGTGAGAGATAACAATGAACAACGGCCATCTTCACATTAAACAACGCGTAAAATTACAAATAGAAATTACAAATAAAATAAGCGTTTAATATGACATAATAAAGAACCAAATTATTTTCAGATCTGTATTCAATTAAATTTTTAGACGCTTCAGCAAAAACTATTCTTTCAATATATGTAGAATAAAGAAAATAAACTTAAAATTATGAATGTACACGAGTTTCTGTTTATAGAGGTACGGTATAAATGTATACCATTTTTTATATTAGTGAATAAACATTTACACATAATTTAGAGATTGAGTTCTATTAATAAACTTCAGTGCTTACGCTTTTACTCTTTTACTCTCTAATCTCTTATTCTTTTATTCTTTTGTTTATCCATGAAAAAGATTGATTATTACATACAGTTTAACCAAAGATGAAATAGAGTATTTAAAATATGAGAAGTATAGCCCTTAGTATTTAAATTAAAATATAAAATAAAAATCGCGATGGATTCATTACGATTCTTGAGGAGGATCGTGATCACAATTTTGTAAATCGCACATCTCTAGTCACAGAAGCGAAATCATGAATGATTCGCGCATGGAAGGATCGTCGCTGCGAGGTCGCCGAACGCGCGTATTTACGCGCCTCGGCAGATGTTCGGTCGCCACCCTCGGAGGGTCCCCGCGAAGATGGAAAGCCGCGTACCCCCGCGACAAGTGTAGCGGCGGTTGCGGCCGTGTACCGCGAAGGGGTTACGGGAGGGGGGGGTCGGCTACGCGATGCAGCATCATGCAGCCACGCGAGTGGGCGGCGCGACGTTCCCTTCTCGCACCCTTCTGCCCTACGTTTTCCAAGAAGAGGAGCATCTCGAAGGGCTACGTACTTCATTAGAGGAGGAGAAGGAGGAGGAGGTGGGAGATCCCTTGATCCTCTCTTTCGGTTCTTCGAGAGATTTCCTCCGACGGAGGAAAGAATCGTCTTCGAAGCTGATAGTCTTCAACGAGACGTGTTAACGGATGGTGCGAAAGCACCAGAATCCCCTGATATATATATCCCGCTTTATCGGTTCCGCGAGAAGAAACCGGTGTTGTTCTTGTTTCTTGCGATCGTTATCGAGCGCGTGCCACGCGAGGAAGACAGATAAACATAAAGTGAGGGAGGGAGATTGGGAGTGAAAGAGAGAAGGACAGAGAAAGAGGGAGAGAGAAAAAGAGAGAGCTGTCGAGCGGAAAAGACCGGCGCGATAAGCAGCCCGTCGATCATCGTGTACATGTTGATACGTTGATATCGAAGTAAGCTGCTCCTCTGACGTTATTCTTAAATTTTACACTATCTCCGACTTCTAGTAGACTCCCGGAGGAAAGTGAGGCGCGATCGGACGTCTTCCTGTTTGAGAGGCGAAGTTTAACGCGTGCGATTTAATGAGACGCGTAGGATTAATTAGTGCGAAAGACCTGGCGATGATTATGACATGTTTTTTAATGGAAGGAAAGATGTCTCGTTGTTGTGCTTTTGTACGATCGCGCCTCATTTCCCTCTGATGACATTTCCCATCGGATTAGAGGGTGGTCCGCCTCGGAGAAGATTGACTCTCTAAAGATCACGATTAAGACACTAACAGATGAGACATTATTTCTACTTGTGCGATTGACCGACAGTGAATCGAATAAGGCCTGGTAAGCCCTATTTTTGCTAATGCAACTTGAATCTTTGTTTAATTTATTGTTTATCTCTTTCTAATTTTAGAACTAGGGATACGTCAAAGTCTCATTACAAATTACTTTGAACAATTTGATTGTTTAATCGGAAAAAAGAATTGAACGATCAAAGAGTGATTCAAAACATTACGTGCGTTGACTGTATCCGGTGTATCCTGGAAGAAGATAAAAAGTAAATTGAACCGAGATTAAAGTTAATCTAAAATAATAAGAATGGACATTTTTGTCGGTCATAATCGTGAGAGATGTTTATCACAATGATAGAGACAATCGTAATGATTTTAGAGCTGCGATATAACACTGCACGCGCGTAAATATACTTAAAGTTCCACATTTGATTGTATAAAAAAGCTGTAAACCGTAAGAAATTAACCAATTATATTCGAATATAGAGAAAAATAACTTCAATTTCTTATACGGCTTCAATTACTTACAATCTTAAAACAAAGTTGTGGGCCTAGACTTATGGATTTAGCTAAAGTATATTTTATCTACGCGCAGAGGTTTATTCTTAAGTTCTTTTCCCCATTTATATATAAGTGACATTTATAGAAATTTAATATTGCAAGGAGGTGATTTATTTTGTGTGTGTATTCATATTCAATATTCAAAATAATAAATAATTACTCAATTGACACCAACTATAGAAGTATAACATCAATGTTATATAATTCTGCATTCAACAATATAAATGTATGTAATATAACATTGTTGAGTGCGAAATTGTGTAACATTGATGTCACGTCACTTTCCGTTTGTGTCGACTGGATATAATTACACTTATTATATCTTTCAAAATTAAAATAGATTTCTGTACGTATAACTACCGACACACAATAAATCACAATCGGATATACGTTTTTCGCTTCGATCAATTTCTGACTATTAAATCACGGATTCATCGGAAATTATATAAACGCGCTCATGATTGATTATCAAGTTAGATCGTGACGCGCGGAAAGAGCCGTGTGACTTCGTAAGAGTTTGCTTCGCAAAAGTGAGTCGGATGAATCTTTGGCAAGATCCGAGAGGATCTTCCCAAGAGGAGAACCGAGAGTAATGGGAAACTCGACTTGGAACCGCTCGACAATCCGCCAACGTTGCGAATATCGTAGCGTAGTTATAAGTTTGCTCCATTATCATCGTATTCGTCGATGTTCCCAGAGACTCATCACCGTCACGCCGCGTTATCTCGCGTTTTACGCGGTGACGAGGAGCCCCGCGATAATGGTCGGTCGGGCGCAAAGTGCACGGTGTCGGATAAAGCGTTGAAAAGCGGCCCTCGTGGCTTTCTTAATCCACGCCGTACGTCGCACGACGTTACAAAATCCGGCGGTTTCGCAATTCCGTCGAGCGTGTGCCGCAATTCACTAACGCCACATATCGCTATGATTGACGGCAGGCTGCCGGCGGCGACGAGCTCGGATCGACGAGGACGACGACGACGACGACGACAACGACGGAGGAAGAGGAGGAGGAAGCGGAGGAGATGCACCTCGAGGATTATCACGGCGAGCGGAGCGAGGAGGACGACGTGCGACTCCCCGTTCTGGAGCAAGACGACTTCGTCGACGACGGTTCCCTGCCCGATCTGATGTCCATGGCGATGACCGGCATAGACGTTGACGTCGTCCAACCGTACTGCTGGACGACCTCGCAAATGACGGATAACAGCGTGCTCTTCTCTCCGCTGGAAATCGGCACGGATCCGCGGGATTATCTCGACTGGGATCAGGTACCCGTTGTCTTTCAGTATCCTACCAACGGCAGTGGATCGCCGGCTGGTAGCACCTGTAGCGAGGCGACCACGCCGACTTGGAGCAACGTAGTGACAGCGACGACGACAGCGACGACGACGATAGATCATGCTGAGGATAAGTCATCGGACTGTCGGAAGTTACCGTCGATGGGCTCAGCCTTCTCCTTCTCGCGCAATTTCAACAACACGATTTTTCCGGAATACGGAGCAGAATCGCAGGGCGAGTATCAGGATTATCCCGACTGCCAAGAGGACATGGTGTCACTGTTGATGAGCATTCAAAACGACGTTACGGTTCAGAACTACAGCCCCTCGATCGCCGACGAGTTTGACCTCAGTCTGATCAGGGGTGACCCAACGTCGTTGCTGAGCAACGTGGATTCGCCGTCGTCATCATCGACGACTTGTCTCGCGGGCGATGAGCAGCAGGAATCATTCCAGAATTTTAATCCGCCGTATTACGCGGTTGGACATCTCGTTTCCTCTCAACAACAGTCGACAACGATCAACCTCGACGGTGAGCTCGTTGGCGCGATGGACGGTTTTGGTAATCAGGTGATATTGCCGCGAAATGAGGGCTTGTTGCTCGGGAATAATCGACGGGTCACCGGGTCGAAAGTCGCTGAAACCGAGAAGAATGACAAATCTTATGGTAAGTTCAGTGAATCGCCTTTATCATTTACTTTAGGGAAATCTAGTCTTTCACGATCTCGTTTCGTCAGGATCTATCCGTGATTTCTAGCAAATTAATAAAGAGGTCGATATATTTTTATTTTTATACAGAAAGAATGATTTATTCCAGTATCACAAATTCAGGTATTCTCTGAAATTTTTGAAGTGGAATCGAACTTGAAAGAGAAATCTCACACACTTTTAAAAAAATTAACGATTGCATCACTCTTTTTTAGCACTGATTCAATTGTCACTTTTTGAGACACTTTTTGTACTCTTTAGAATTAAATTCTACTTCAAAGATTTCAGAGAGTAGGCAAATACATATAAATATAGAAATAATTTGATTGACAATCAATAATTATTATAAATATGTTCAGAAGTTGCTAAAATGTTAAAACTTCCTGCAGTGCTTATCATACATGTTTAAATTTTGTACATAATTATTTCGATAGTCAAATTATTTTCAGATCTGTATCGACCTAAATTTTGAGATATGACGTTTCAGCAAAATGTTCTTTCCGTGTGTGCTCCAAATGCATCTTTGCAAAATTAATGACTTCCCAGATAACACCAAGTCCAAAATCGGGACATTCTCGACAAGTAGAACACAGAAGTCATAATAATATCATAAGAACATCATCATGATTATATTTATCACTTATATAAGTTCATTTTTAAGTGAACAAATAACGTCATGATGACGTCCTATGATTACAACTTAACTGTATGATTCTTCCCGGGCAAGACGTCTTAAAGACATTTTTGCGAGAACCATTTAAATGATGTCTTAAAGACATCTTATGTTATATATAATATGGATTTTAGATTTTGCGTTGTCTAGTTTTCAATATTTTTAGCATCATCAGACTTACGTACTAAACGCAACGATCCGAATACATGAGGCAATTCTTCGGGCACACGCAATTTCTGCTCCAGTTGCGCGTATTTACGTTTCGCGTGCGTACGTCACGTTGCAGATTGCGCGAGACCAGTGGATGATAGCCTCACGTTGGCTTATCAGTGCCGTTGGATCGACTGCGGCTGTGCATTTACGGAGCAAGAGGGTCTGGTGCGACACATCGAGAGGCGGCACGTGGAGTCGTCCTCGATGAATGCGCACGGCCATGGCAGACGGATTCAACGAGACCGGGATAAGGAGCGAGACGGCAAGGAGGCGGGAGACGGCTTTCTCGGGATGGCCACGACGGCGACGACGACGGGCCGCGAAGACGAGTTTGCCTGCCTGTGGCAAGGATGTCCGCGCGCTCGACCGTTCAACGCGAGATACAAATTGCTCATTCATATGCGGGTACACACGCAGGAGAAGCCGAATAAATGTCCGGTTAGTGTTTCTCGTCTTGTTATTTCCTCTCGGCGATTTTTAACTTTAGAGTGACTTTTGTGGCATCCCTCTTATACTACTATTCTTAAGAATATTCAATATTTTCAATTTGTAAAGATTTTTAAAAGAATACTTCAAATTTTATAGATGTACAAGTTTTATATTTTACAAATACGTTATAGGTTTTCTTAGAATTTATAAAATAAAAAGTCTTAACATACATACCTATATAATATTTCCAAATTTATATGAAGAATTTAAAAAGTACATATACATAAATAATAGACTTTTTCATTTCTAAAAAATTTCAATTTGTATAAAAAATCTAAAAAATGTTTTAAATAGTTATAAAATTATACAAAAATTTTTTAATTTATATAAAAATTTTAAAAATTACATAAGTACTATTGTTTTTTATTATCACAAATTTCATTTTTTTTAATTGTTTGTCAGCAAGATGTTGATTTCTTGTTGGTTCTTATTTCAGTTTGTTGGCTGTAAAAAGGCCTTCAGTCGTTTGGAAAACTTGAAGATACACCAGAGATCGCACACGGGCGAAAGGCCTTACGCTTGTCAACACAATGGATGCTCAAAGGCATTTAGCAATAGTAGCGATCGGGCCAAGCATCAGAGAACGCATTATGATAGAGTATAATACCTTTCTTACTTTTCACGCATTTGATAAACGGACAAATTGCAATTTAAGTTTCTTCTCTAAAATTTCTCATAGGTAGTTAATTGTTGATTTGATACTCGGTAAGCTGTACGTATCGATATAAATTGTTGTGGCACGTATTACGGCTTATATTCTCTCTAGGAAAATTAATTAACATAAACTCTATAGTAGGTATAATTATAAATATTTTATAATAAGGTAACTGTACCGAATATAATATATACTACCGTTAGAAAGTTCAAGACCAAAAGTTTTAGAAACTTAATTTTGTGTTCTTTTTATTTAAAATATATGCAAGTCCGATTTTATTTTTCATTTGATAATGACCTTAAATATTCGTCCAAACTTTGTTGAAACTACATATCACAAAAAGAAGCAGATAAAACTCTAAAGAACGGCCGCCGCAATCACTCGATCTAAATCCTATAGAGCTATTGTAGGATGATTTTGATCAAATAAGAACGATGAGAATGTTCTACTGAAAATTCTTTGTGGGAAATCTTACGGACGGAGTGGAAAAATATACACAATCAAACAACAAAAAATCTCATAGACCGAATACCTAGAATTTGTATAAAGGTTATAAAAAATGTACAGGTGGATTTGACTAGGAAAATGTTTAGTTCTTTTTTGTAATATAAGGCCAATAGCATTAATTATTGTTAATATTTTCAATTTATTTGAAAATAAAATATTATTACGTAACTATTTAACGTGTATTCGTTTTATAATTTCATCATAATTATGTATTTTAAGATTATATCATATTGGTCCTAAACTTTCTGATGGTATTGTATATATAAGCGTCGCAATTTTTGTTGAGTCCAATATTGAAAACTGGTCAGATTCAAAATAGGAAACATTTCTGAATATTAATTGAAAATAACCTAGGAAAGCTGATGTTATTTGTCGTCATTTTTCACGTTAAATAATGTCTTTATCGTTATTTTGCTAGAAGAACATCCAGTTTATTTGCTGGAATGAGACATTTATAATATTTAGGTATATGAAGAATTATTATGTTAAGCTTTATAGTATAAGTTTTGTATTTTTGTTGATTTAATGATCTTTTTTGACAGAAAAATGATTTTGATAATGACGTTAATTTGTTCTTCTTCTAGAAACCATACGCCTGCCAAGTGAGCGGCTGCGGCAAACGGTACACGGATCCGTCGAGTCTTAGGAAACATTTGAAGAATCACACGGAGAATTCGAGTACGTTATCCAATCTATTATCGTCGGATAAGGTACCAACGAGTAACGTGACGATAGGACACAAATTAAACTCGACAATTCCTCATCGAAGAAGTCAAAATGCGTGCATCCTCGACGTGGAAACGGATCATTCGTTGTACAAGTTATCTAAAACTTACGTCAAAGAGGAGAACACGTTGCCGGATAATACATGCCAACTGAATAGAATCTCCTTGAATTTCGACAGCAATCAGCAGGAATACGTGCCGATCGAATCGGTTCGTCATCTTCTGATCAACGACATCAATAATGTACAGAACGAGAATACAGGTAATCTATGTATTCAATCGATTTAATCGCTAGTGCTGTAAATTTTAATGCCCAATTCGCAATCATCGATTTCCAACGTGTAGTGTGACATGAGCTTGAGTTATTGTCCGATTTTATTAAAGAATGATGTATTTAACGATCAGTGTCGAGTATAGTAGATACGTTAAAAGATTCAAAGCTTTCCTTTGCATTTGAAAGGGCCGAAAATATCATAAGAAACGACTGCAAAAAAAGTCTAAGATGTTTATAAACAAAAAACAGAATGAAACTACAAATACCGTTGCAGATTGATAATCTACCGGACTGCGATAAGACATGAAAAATATGTCGAAAGTTATGTTATCCACGCTTTTATCAAAGACTATATTTATTAAAATTTTATAATTATAGAATGTTAATGATTTTAATAAATAAATATCAATTAAGATCATTCTATTAACTTATACCTTATTTCTTTATTTTCTAGACTTTATGGTACATTAATTGTTATATTATCTTTTCGGTTGACATTGACAGTAATCACTCTTTCATCATCATGACTATACTGTATGGTTTTAATTCTCTCAACATGATTTATATTTTCAGTCAGCATTTTCGATGAAAATCTGATCAAAATTCAATAAAAGACATTTGTTATTTATTTTGTTTGCTTACATTACAGTTTTTACATATCACGTAATAGTTCCGTAGTTAAGATATAGCATGACCTTTAACTTTTATTGCCAATAGGGTAAGACCTTGTTTTTCCGTTCATGAGTATTATTCCAGTTACTCTTTGCAAAAATAGTACTTACAAAATAGATCGAGTTAGTCATGGAACTATTTAATAAATTAGAATCACAATAATTAAAAAGACTATTTTTAGAAATCTTTATATTATTTATATTATTTAAGCATCTTCCGCAAGTACGAAATGCAAGATGCTAAATATTCATTTATGACGTTTGTTGTAAATTATCATTTTTTATTTTAAAAATCCTTTAAATTTGTATAATGTTGGTGACCAACGAAGGTAACACAATGCAGATAAAAGAATTTTTAGTGAAAAAAAATGTTCTTAATATTTTGCCAAGACTATCTCTAGCAATACCGTGGTAAAAATTCGTCAGAGAATTTTTTAGATTTTCATACGATTTTGATACGTTTCTTGGAAGTACTCAGAAAATTTATATGTATACCTTTTCTCTAGAATTTTTCATATACGAGAAAAATATTTGGTTAAAAGTGAACGAATCAGAATAGAAGATTATATATCTAATCAAAATTATCTTAGCTAGAATTTTAGTAGATTTGGCTAATCAGAAAATTTTCCTGTATTTTCAAGTAGAATTCTAATTAATCCAACCATTTTTCTCAATGTGTAAATTTTAAAATATTAAAAAAATTTTTGGAACTTAAATCATTCTATAGCTTCTGAAAAAAATTTATACAAAAAATCTGAAAAAGTATTTTTAAATGTCTTTTTTATAAATTTGAAGTATGACAAATTCTTAAAAATTTTTTGGGATATTCGAGAATATTTTTCATTAGGGTAGGGTATAATTTCGCAGATTCTGAACCTGCGTTTTATGCTTGCGTACGTGCGTGCGTGCATCTCGCGGGCGCGTGCTGGCTTTTTTTTGACTTTTCTGATGCGGTTCGCGCATCGTGCCGATGACAGTGTCGTTCCCGGTCGTCTATAGCTTGATCTCAGAGGAGGTTCACTCCTTTATGCCTTTACCCCATACAGAGTCTTAAAATAATATTCCTTACTTTTTTGAGGGGGGAAGGCATACGCCGCGTACGACGCGACGAGAACGCGCGGACGCGTACGCGTGACAAAACACATGACAAAACTCTGTTTTGTCACGCGCCACGTGCCATGCACCCGTGCTATTTCCAAAGAAGCCCTCGCGTAATTTCGTGAAAGTATATAAAAACGCGCGCGCGAGATCAAATGGGTGACAGTAAGAGTGAGTAAAAGAAAGAAAGAATGAGAGCAAAGCACCGGCCATATTTAGCAAAATGTTTATTCTGCAAGTTATTCCTCTAGATCTAAAAGTATGATCCAATCGTTGCAAAGCTGCTTTTTCTGCTGAACGCAACCTTTTATCATCGAGTTGCTCGTTACAGGATTCTGCGTGACTGCAGAGGACGTGCCGGATTTTCATGAATTAGGCGTCGACACCGAGCGACAGTTCCACGAGTTGAGCATCTTAAACGAAGCTATCTTCATCGATGGATGAGCCTTTCAGTTCAGCTAAAGAATCCTTTCTCTGACGAAGGTGAAACAGGGCGTGATGCGTCGGTGAATGAATGGATGTAATTAATAAAATAATAAGACATGATTGATTCGATTAACCTCGCATCTTATTGGTTCGATTAACCCTTTGAAACTAACGGCAGATTTATTGAATAACTCACTCAGAGAGTACGGTCAAAGTCTCACTATAAATACTTTAAAGCATTTGATTGATCAATCAGAAGAAAGAATTGTAAGAATTGACCAATCAAATAATGCTTCAAAGTATTATTTGTACACTGAAAAAAATGCTAAATTTTAATACATATTTATTTGAACAGTTCTTACTTATAGTAAATTTTTACTTAGTAGTTTATTATTCAATACATATTAAGATTTAATAATTTTTTTCAACGTAACATATTATGTTGACCGTATCCTCAATTATAAATCTGTTTGCCATAAATAACAAACACTTTACTTTTTTTATATTACATTTACACACAAATTTGGATTATTCTTTTCTATTAAAATGTATTTACTATTCTCTTTCTCATTCTTTCTTATACAAACTTCAGAGAAATTTAATACTGTAAGTATTAAAATTGCTCAGTGATTAATTATTTATTTTAAATATTAAAATAACTTACTTTTAATATTTCAGATAAGTAATTGATCATTAACCAATTTAATATTTATAGTATTAACTTTCTACAAAGAGACGTTACTTTGGTTCTTTAAAATTAATCAGTGCCTTTTATTTTTAATATAAATTAAATGGTTCTCTTATAGAAATAATTTTGTTACAGATTCTGGCGTTAGCTCAGAGGGTTAAGAATCACGTTTTCGAATAGTTCAGACACAGTTATTTTACTTCATAGCTATGTAATTAATCGCTAATCTCGAGAATAGCGATTAAACTTCAATTTTAAAAAGAAATAATTATGTTGCTTCTTATATAATAGACGTGTTTTTTCTTAGGAGAAAAGGAAGCGTGGATGATTCGCCGATTAACGACGCGTTTATCCTGTCGCTGCGATCTCATTGTTTCGTTTCTCTCTTTCTACGATCAATTTTATACTCATTCGTTGTACTTGATAAATCGTATATATTTTTGTACATAGGCACTAATGTATATTATAGGTGAACTAAATATATCATTTATTTCGAACAAGTTTATGCATCACCACACCTTCCACACATACGTGGCTCGATCCTACCATTTTTTAATTCTCTGGATTTTCGTCTTCGCAGGCGCTTGGCCTATCATCCTTCTTCGTCAAATGCCGACAAATCAATTTGGGGAAGTTACTTAGCGCCTCATCTTGATTTTCCTTCGAGTATACCTGTACATACGATAATTGTAATGATGTTGGATAACCATATTTAAAATCGTATATTAAGAGAAAAGCGTTTGATATTTATGACTCTAATTGCATGGTAAAATAATTACGATTAGAATTTTTTTAAATGCTAGTAGTTTACTGGTAGATTGGCAGCAAATTCAATCAGATTCTCACAATCATCTATAGCCTGTGTCCGCATTAATTTCAGAATTTGTCAACAAAGTCTGCTGATATACAGTGGATTGGTAAGAAAAAACTATAAAGCTGCAAATCTTGTTCAGTTTCTACCGCCAATTTAATGGCAAAGTATGTCAACAGACTTTGTCCTATTATCTGGCGGTAGTTTACACATTGTCAGATATTACAAATATTATTAGTTACTCTGTACGAAATTTGTTACTTTTCTACCATCAAAAATTTGTAGCACACTCTGTTCAAAATGTCTCTGCAGACTTGGTTATCTGAGTTAATAGTCATTTTTGTTAAAATGTTAGTAATAATAATTATATAATTCGAGAGTCTTCTTTAATTGATTTGTTGAATAATTATATAATTCTATTAAAAAATACAGATATATGTATGAATAAAAAATATATATATACATATATTACTCTGGCACCAAAAATGACTATAAATTGTAATTAAATTATAGCAATTGTAACTTAATTTTTTCTCAGCATGCCAATTTATAATTAATCATTGTGGATTAAGACAATTCTAACGCTTACCCCGTTGATCACTATCGTCGGCACGAATCTCAAAGGTGATTGCATGGCATCCGTTTTGTCACCGTTCGCCGCAAGCAAATCGTCTGCCAGCGGGCTCGCGATGCAATCGTCGATCAACTTTCGCGTTTTTGTAGTAATAAATTCGACTTCTTCAGTACACTAAAATTTATTCGTCGCGTTATTATAGTTTATGTTGAAATATTTTATCGTTATTATCCTCAGATGAATGTATTTATCAGCGAAAAATTTCCGCACTCGTTTTACGTACGTGACACAACATGAAAAGATAATGAAACGAGTCAGCAATTATGTTATCTAATATATGTCAATAGATATCAAATGCGACGTGTATTATCGAAAATTAACGATCATCTGTGGAAATCAGTTTGAGAAATTGAAATCACTTTTCCTTCACGTTTCATGTTTAATAGTCTGATTTTCCATGTAATGTGAAAGAAATTATGCCCAAACAAAAACTCCAATTATAATTTAAACTCATTTAAAACATTGAAATGTCAAGAACAATTAAAATGATGACATGATAACATCATTTTGACGGTAAAATATATTGTGAATGATCAAAAAGTAACTTAATCCTTTGTAAATCTCAAAGGGTTTAATAATTGCTTTTGATGCCATGATAATTTTATTGTTTGTTTTTCAAAAGTATCTTTTGAAAAAATAACGATGTTATTTCGTTTTAATTATAATTTCTATCAATTATTCTTACAGAAATCCAATTTAATACTGAAAGATACAGTGACTATTTACTTACTAAATAAGTAGTTAATCACTGTATATACTTTTCATTAAATTTCTGTGAGAATAAGTACATCTCGATGATATTTTGTCCAACGATAAAACATCTTTTATCTCAATCTTCAAAAGTGCGCAGTGTTTATTTTTTCATTAAACGAATGCACCCTTGAGTGACGTTTTGTCAAATGCGTTGCACTCTGCGTGATCGCGGCACGCTATCGCGCGAATTCAACGAGAAAGTATGCCGAAAGGTCGGCGTTACGAGTTAAATGTCGACTCTTACTCATCGATGCAAGTCGTACGGAAATTAATTAGACGTTACGTTCGATAAAAGCATGTTTGTGGGGACAATCATACAGTATCGGCTAATCGTGGCTAGGAAATTATACGCAAAGGTGAAGCTACCTGTTGAACAGCAGTGACCGGGTTCCTACCCCCCCCTGAAGCGAACATTGCACAACCGATCAGATTGATCATCAGTCGCTGATGATTCTCGGCTGCCTCGGAGGACTGTATGGCGTGAATCCCACATGCCTGAGCCTTATTCCCAAGACATTCGTTAGGCCCATGTTGACAGGAGAACTGCCATGGACCGGTTTCGCTTTCGCGATGGCGCTACAGACACATATGTCATTAATTTGCATTTTAATCGTTTAAAACGACAACGTTTTCCTTGTGGCCGACGTGGATGAGAATACCGAAGACTATAGCGAGGGGAATCATTTTGCGTTTTCAAGGCCACATGGATTCAAGCGGATCCCTTGTGTGTTGATCCAATTCATTAATTCCTCTCGAGAAGAATATTTAATAGAAAAGCCAGTAAATAAATATGTAAATATAAAAATTAAGAAACTCTCTCTATGTTAATTAACCGTCCGTAGCTGACGATGGGTTCATTGAACCCACTCAATTACATTCTTTATATTACATCTAAAAATTTAATTACTTCATTAAATTATTCAATAATTTATTAAATTATTGTTATTAAAATAAATTTATTATTAGTATTTATTATTTTTTATACAAATTTTACCTTTACAAAAATTTAATATTACAAAATAGTGTGAGTAATTGATACTGTTATTCTATACTTTTAATACTCAAACTAATTATAAATAATTTTAAGTATTAAAATAGGCCAATATTAAATTAGATTTCTATAAGAGTATCAATACGTTTATTTTAAAATTAATTAGTGTTTAACTAAAAAGTCGCAAATTAAATAAGTGTTACTGACTTAGCGTCAGTAATTACTTCAATCAAATATCTAATTCAATACCGAAACTTTTTTTTACAAAAAATATACGCGAACATAGGAGACCTACTCAGCTGTTCGAAGTAGAAAAAAGAACAAAACATAAAAACAGGTACAAAACAAACAATTAAATCGATAGACAACGTTACTGATAACACGACAATTATAACGACATTTTTAGATAGCATTTAATTTAACACTATTATCATTAAATAGTTTGATATTGCAATCAAGTACAATATTGCACATCATGCTGTAATTCGTTATTAAGAAAAATTAATTACAACCGTTGTATCGCAAGATACATATAGGCAAGAGAACAAAACTGAAAAGGATTCATTTTAAACCTCGCGTTTATTTTAAATTTTTTATTCGAAATTTTCTCAAACGATCGAAAACAAATAGTTTTTCTCTGAGAGTGAGATCAGACAGTTTTGATCACAAGAGTAACACGCTTATTCATCCACCGGCTTTTGACACATACAATCCGCTTGTAATCTAACTAACGCTGCAAATAAAGACTTATACTCGTGCCTAAATATATTTCGTTAATACCGACCATAGTTCATCTAAGATCACAACTAAATCCGATCTCTTTAAATCCCAAAGAATTAAAAAAAAACAGCAATAATATTCATTTTTAATATCCAAAATAAATAATAAGTAAAAACAAATAAAATAAATAATAGATATAAGTAACTAATGTTTTGATATCAGCTTCGGAAGGTTAACAGATTATAGATATGTATATATTATAAAAAATGTTATACATTATATAACAAAAATAAATAAATAAATGTGAAAACAAAACAGGAATACAAAGTATTTAAATAAATAATAGATATAAGTAACTAATGTTTTGATATCAGCTTCGGAAGGTTAACAGATTATAGATATGTATATATTATAAAAAATGTTATACATTATATAACAAAAATAAATAAATAAATGTGAAAACAAAACAGGAATACAAAGTATTTTATCTTTTCACGTGATTATCTATGCCGATAAGATGCCAATCGCCTCACGCTATCGCCTTATTTATCATCTCTTGTAAAAATAAAAATTGAAGAGCAAATCGATTATAAGTATAAAGTAACAGGACATAAATGAAGCTTTTAGGAGGCGAAAATTGTGAATATATGTGTGAGACAAAAAATATATAAACGCTCTCTTCTTTTACCTTTCATTATCTTAATTTTGCCTCCAGAAGCTTCCATTATTGACTTTTGTGTTAGTCTCCTCTTACATTCAACCTTCACTTCAATTTTTATTTTCACCATCACGGCCTCATCTCGTCGAAACGATAGAAAATCGTAGAGAAAGAGAGAAATAATTATATGAAATTATATTGTACTTACCGTAGCTTTCCCATAAGGAATCAATGTGACGTTAATATGACGTCTAAATTCTAGATACCATGGCACGAGTTGACGTGTTATCCATCGCATGCTATCACTGCATAATGATTCATAGTAAACGTCCACGTTGACAACATGTATTTTTGATTCATCATCTGCCAACTGCGCATTGGACTTAAACAAATTTATAAAATTATTATGATGTACTTGATTATGGCGCCGTACTTGACTTATGTCCGGTTCCACCAATGTAAGATTTACTTCAATCTCGATTTTTAATTTACTCTTTATCTTTTTCTAATTCTAAAAATTAGAAAAATTAAACAGTAAGTTAAACAGAGATTAAAATTAATCTTACATTGACAGAACTGGTTCATAATCATTTTCAGTTTTCTAAACATCAATTCCTCTTATCGGAATATTAATAACTAAAAAGGAAAGCTAGCGAGTCTCTATTATTCAAATCATTCAGTTATCAGAATTGTCGTGTCCTCCCAACTTATCCGGATAAACAGAATTCTACTATATTCAAATAACTTGTCTATATTGAGAAATATTCGATAAAAATAGATATATTAATTTACAAAAATGTTAAGTTTAAGATTTAAGCTTACCAGAATTCCATGAGAGACGAGCGCGACAAAAACGGCTGCTGCCAGCTGGGCGCGAGAAATTGAGAGGTAGAATCGCATGGTCGTATCGTTGATAAGTGAGTCGCAAGAAAGGCGTTTTAAACCTGCTGCGGACAATAGTCGACGAGCGAATGCCAGTGAGAGGGAGATATGAAAAGCCGTAAACGGTGGGGACTTGAAAAAGAAAGAGTAAAACGAGACAATCAATCACGGAGAGGGAGAACCACAGTTCATCCTTGCGATATTAGTCGAGGACATCCAGCTATGTTTATCTGGATGCCTTCAATCATAGACGCGAGTTTGCAACCAGCTTAGTTTTGCACGACAATTCGTTTTCAAGCGCGAGTTTAAAGTCTAAAGACTTTCATCTATATGACATATGATCTCTTCACTTTCTACTGGAATACTGCTTACTTAGAATAGCAATTCTGTGTTGATGTTAAATAACATTTTATTATACTCATATAGTTAAATTTGAAACAGACATATTCAGCATTTTATTTCTCATTTTGTCTTAAAATTTTTATTTTTTTTTCAACACAATTAAGTGCAAAGGCTATATTACAGGAATACGCATAATTAGGAATAGCATAATCAAATAAGACAATTGTGAACAACTATATAATATATTTATAATACAGAATAAGTTAACAATTCGCACTAGAAATATTTAAGAATAGATCGATGACGATTTAAGTCAAAAATAATGAATAATAAATTATCGATTAAAAAGAAAAATATGATTGTTTATTTTTTATTTTATAAATCCTTCTCGCCTATTACATATATTTAACAAATTATATTAAACAATTATAAATAATTTATGCAATTCATGATGATTCAAATGCTTAAGGCAGCGTGTTAAACGCGTAATATGAAAGGTTTCCATACTTAGTCTTTCGTTTCACAGAACTGTATAAACTAAAAAAACGAATGAATCTATTGGTTGATGTAATCCATATCGTGAAGTTAAACGTTACGAGTCTATGCCCTGATGAAACTTCAATTCTTTCTGCGATCGTGTCAGTTCCTCGTACAAATCGGTGGCACGTTTCTTGAAGATTGCAGCAAGCTCAGGATTCTTCTGCGCGCCTTCTCCGCGTGTGTGCATCTGAGACAAGTTCGCGCAAGCGTACGGATTACCGAGCTCGCAGCTCTTTAACGATAGCTTGTATGCCTCTTTGTAGTTCTTCTCGATGACGTTCTCTAAACCTCCTAGATAAATACCCGATAAGTAGAAACAGGCCTTGTCCATGTTGTACATGTCGCAAGCCTTCTTCAGATACTTGGCACCTGCATGAATCTGGGTGGCTCTGTCTTTTTCTCCGACGTCGGACTTGGACGTTCCCAAGACACCAGCATGCAGACAGCCATATTCATCATTGAGCTCACAGCTTTTTGATAGATACTTATACCCTGTCGGTATGTCCTTGTTGCAACCTTTTCCTGTGTAAAGAGAAAAATATTAATTCTTGAATAATTAGGTTTGAAGTGATGTATATAATATAATTTTATACATTTAAAAAAAAAACTATTATGTATGATTTCTTCATTAGCTGGATGAAATCTTATAACATTTTAATGTCCATTTCTACTAACATAGATTAACTTTTTATATTATTTAACTTACTTCTTATTTTCTTCTAAATTCTAAGAATTATAAAAAATAAAGAATAAATTGAACCAAGATTAAAGTGAATCTACATTGGTAGATATAAATGTAAGGTCTGATTGCATCAACATAAGATTAACTTTGATCTTACAATCTTTGTTAGTTTATCTTACTATTTATCTTTTTCTAATTCTAAGAATAAATTCCGAGAATAAATCTAACATTGGTGAAACCAGATCTAAATATAAAATCACAATGCCCTATGAAATTTGAATAATGCCTAGTTCTGCTAAAGTAAATTAATTTTAATCTAGATTCAACTTACTTTTCATCCTTTCCTAATTATTAAAACTAGAAAAGGATAAAAATTATGTATTATTAAATTGAGATTAAAGTTAATCCACGTTGGTAGAATTTATGTTTGACAGATTCGAAGTTTGTGCCAAAACAAATGCTCCTGACATCTAGCACAGATGCTTATAACTAACATTGCGAACGTCTGCTAGACTACAGCACCTCGTGATTCTCTCAACAAACTCACCGATTACTTTAAAATCGCCGAATTTCGCACAGCTTCTGGCGTAATTATACTGATCGCAGGTCGTCTTGTATAATGAAGCAGCCTTCTCTATTTCCATTTTTACTGCCTCGTAAAAATCACCAAGCAAGTGACATACTGTTTTCGGAGCAGAAGATTATTTTTCTTAATCGTGAGGTTAGACTCTAGCTTCACTCACCCTCTGGCTTTTTCTCGTTGTAACAGCCGAATTGATATTCTATGTGAAGATTCTTCAAGTACTCCTTCACTTCCTCCTCATTTTTCAAATCATACGCCATCGTTTCGTTTTTTACCTCATGTTATACGTGCAATCACATAATAAGAGAGTATCCACCATATTTAGAATTATAAGTCATGGATCATGGATGATGGAAGGAAAGAAACAAAAAAGTCAGCTGTGTTCGTTCCAGGCCCGGGATTTAGCTGTTACTTTATTTTGAAGCGCCTACATGTCCACAAAACGTGGACATTGAACTAGGCAGCCAATGTCCACGATCGTGTCGGTAATCTCCACGATTTATGGTTCGAATCTTCCCTATGTCCATGATTATCGGTCCATTAGCAGACAAAGACAAACAATCGATCGAACCAAAAAATCATGGACATAGAGAAGATTCGAATCAAAAATGGCTAAAAAACCAAAACAATGTTGTAAATGGACAGTAAAGTATGCAAAATAACATTGTAACTACTTTATATGCATACAGTATATGAACATAAATATTATTCTCGTTAAAAAGAAAGAAAAGTATGCATTATATTTAAATGCGTGTACGTGCAATATAAAAACCTGCTCACATATTTAAATTAAAAGTACGTGTAAATGATACAATTTCATAAACTACTACAACCGATCATTTCAGTAATAAAAACAATTACATAATTAAAATTGACGAATATTAAACATCAATTCTGATCACCTTGATACATAAAAATGTCTCCTATGATGCCATTGACAGAATCTCCAATCCACAGATACAAAGAATCTTTTTCATCCTTATTACTTAGCAATTAAAATTATAGTATCACTGACTTTGGCAACAAAATTATGAAACTTGAAACTGTATAGTAACAACTCTACTCCGGATCTTTTTTTTGTTACATTTGCTATCATTTGTACATAATCAATAATCAAAGTCGAAAACTTAATAGAGATCTATATGTGCCTTAAACTCTTCTTGAATTCTACTTTCAATTACAGGTAAAATTATATTGTTCGGAGTTATATTAAAACTAACATATACTGCTTTTCCAAACTTCATGCTTAATCTCTTAGCCATATTTGTAGATGTAGCATCTGCTATAGAACCTATAATTTTGGTTGCAATAGGCTGTCTCTCAAAACTTGATGTGAGAGCAAAAGACAAGTCTTCCATGCTACCATTAATGGAATCTCCAATCCACAGATATAAAGAATCTTCCATTCTTATTAACTGGCAATTAATATTAGTATCATTGATTATGGCAACAAAATTATAAAATCTGAAGCTGCATGGTAGTAATTCTACTCCGGATCTATTCTCTGTTGCACTTGCCATCATTAATGCATTTGGTTCTCTCTTACCTATAATCATAAAATTTCAAAATATATCAGAAGGAATAAAAAACATTGCAGTATATTTAAAGAACAATATATGTTGATATATTAATATTAAAATTATATACTCTGAAAAACAATTAATATTCTAATATTTGGAAAAATTTTAAGTTTATGTATTCAAATATCCTTTTTATTAATAAGTTATTTTTAAACAATAAGATATATACAATGAAAATCTAGAGTTAACAAGCAAAAATAATAAATAACCTAAATGACAATCTTGATTTGCAGTTGAAGTATGCAAAATTTAACTGAATTCCAAATTGAATAGCTTTAAGCCAAGTAGTTAGTTTTAACAAATTGTATTTTAATATATCATGTATCATGTACTTTGATGCTGTCATGACAGACTCGTACAAACTTAAAACAAATTTTAGGGTATTTATCTAGAAGAGGTACCTTATCTCCGATTTTAATGACATTAGTCTCGTTCATGATGTTTTTACACAAAACAAAAAACCTAGCACAAAAAAGACTAATTACTTAGAAGAGATGCCTCACCCCAATTTTGATGAAATTAATCTCATTCAATGCGTTTTTGCATGAAACAAAAGAATAAGTCAGAAATAAATTCTGTCCTACGAACTGAGATAAGTGATAAAGTTGACGATAAAGGTTATGAATCCTGTCATATTGACCTAACGTATTGAACTACAGGGAGGGGGGGGAGGGGCAAACTCCTATCTTGTGAAAGAAAGAGTGACAGACTCCCTAGCACCACCTAGCTCTGTAGTACCAAAATTGGAATTAAAAGGATCAAATGACCTCGTGAGGATATTCAAACCAATACACGCATATCAATATGAAAATAACCGGTTATACTAGTAAGTTCCTGAGCGGTTTGTTAATTAATGCTATTAACATTATTTAAGTTTGCATTATTTAAGATAGAGAAATATACCGTTTATCAATCTAAAATAATGCAATTTTAAATAATGTTAATAACATTATAGTTAACACAATGTTCAGAAACTCTCTTAACACAATTTGTATTTAGATTAATATAAAGGAGTTGTCTAATATTATTAAAAATTCTTTTA